ATCCTAAAGGGGGGCAGCTAGGTGGCCCAGTGGACAGAGCATCGGCCCTGGATTCAGGAGGACCTGAATTCAAATCTGGCCTCACACACATAACACTTACTAGCTGTGTGACCCTGGGCAAGTCACTTAACCCCACTGCCTAGCCAAAAAAAAAAAAAAAAAAAAAAAGAGTATCCTAAAGGGTTCCAAGACCAAAAAGTTTGAGAACCACTGCACTAGAGCAATTTAAAAACAGGGTTCTTGGTTATGTAGTTGTTCTTTTTTCCCCAATCTTTTTTTAATTATTTTTTTAATTACTCTGAAGTAGACAAATAACAACAAACAAGGATATTTCGTTATACAAAGAACAGAAAATAAAGATTGTTTATGACAGTGTAATCCTTGTAATATAGAGTTTGGTTTATTTTAAGTATATGTTACATTTGACATGGATTCTTGTAGTTTTTCTAAGAATAGTCCCTGCCATGAAGCAGGGTTATTTACCTCACCAAAACTCCATAGTTATAAGGTATCATGGGAAGGGCCTCAGGGTAAGAGTTAGGAGACCTCTACCTAGTCCATGACCTCCCATTTGATAGCTTTAACCAGCCCCTCATTGAAACTGTTCCTTTGGCTTCCATGATGCTATGCTCTCCAAATTCTGCTTCTACTTCTGATTGTCCCTTCTCTGTTTCTTTCTCTGAGTCACCATACGAGTGTCTGATGGTGCACAGCTAAGCACGCTCTTCAACATTTGGTCCTCAGCTCTCTTCCCTGTCCAGGATCTCCTCCAAACATGTTCCCCTATCAACTTCCCTGTTTCCATTAATAGTATCATCACTTCCCCATCAAAACCTCATCTTTCCCACCACTCTGTCCCTAACCTCCCAAATTTAACTGGTCAGGCACTTTTAAATTCTCTTGCCTCCCAATCCCACTACCACCACTGGATTTCTGGCTTTCATCACTCCCGTTCTGGCCTCCCAGCTGGCTTCCCTCCCACCTCTAGTCTCTCCTCTGTCTAATCTGTCCTAACCACATGCTAAAATAAGCCACTTTCATCATGTCACTCTCTTGCTCCAAAACCTTGTCTATAGCAGTCATCACCATTTAGAGGTTTGTGCTAAAAATCCTCTAATGTCACCTTAAGCAGTAAATAATTGCAAAGAATATTGTGAGTAATATATTAAATGACCCTGGGAATTCACATTTGTTATTGTTGTTGAAAGCAGTTTGAAGAACAAAAAAATTGGGAACCACTGGCCTAAAGAATTATAAATCTGCATCTACATATCTATATCTAGGGGCAGCTAGGTGGCGCAGTGGATAGAGTACCTAGACTGGAGTCAGGAAGACCTGAGTTCAAATCTAGCCTCAGATACTTACTAACTGGAGGACCCTGGGAAAGTCATTTAACCTCTGTTTGCCTCAGTTTCCTCATCTGTAAAATGAGCCAGAGAAGGAAATGGCAAACCACTCCAGTATCTTTGCCAAGAAAACCCCAAATGGGGTCATGAAGAGTCAGACACAATTGAAAAACATATACATAGCTACATTATATACAGGTATATAAATGTATCTCTATAGATGCATGACAGTGTTAGACTAGGTGGTCTCTACCTGAATAGAGCTAGATATCTATATCTATGGAGATCTGCAGTTGGAGATCCATGGAGAGACCATGACATCCAACATCCTCATTTGCCATATGAGAAAACTGAGGCAAAGGTCTTACCCAAGGTATCAGGTATGAGAGGCAGAATTTGAACCCAGTTCCTCTGGCTCTAGAGTCAGTGTTCTTTCCCCTGAGCATAAAATCCAAGATCTTCAGGCTGGCATTTGAAGACCCTCCATAATCCAGGCCTAACTAATCTTTCCAGCTTTACTTCTCACTACTTCCTTCCCCTCCATTCACCATCTTCTGCCCACGCCTTCTTACCTCTCTATCTCTGTTCATAGTTCATCCTCCCTTCCCCAACTCTAGGAAAGCCTACCTGATAACTGGCTCTTCCCAGCCACCTATTTCAATTCAACAAACGCATATATTAAGTGTGTATTTATTATTCATTAAATCACCCCCTTCCGCTCTGTTCCTGACTTCTAGACTTCAAAACCATGCCTCGGCCGCTGTCTCTTCCTAGAACTTCCCTCTGCCCCAAGGCCTCCTTGTCCTGGAACATCCGACCACCCCGAAACCTTCTAACTCTGGAATCTCTCTCTCCACCAGGCCAGACCCCTTCTCCCATTGTTGAGCTCCTGGGGCCTCTATTTTGCAGAAGGCCCCATTTCATTCCCCTCCCAGCTTTGCTATTAACTTTTGTGCTTTAAAACCATGTCCCCTTTCCAGGGAGAGAGACACACACACACACACACACCTTAGATGAACAGAACTTAAAGGCCAAAGGAAGTCTGACTCCCTACTCTCCTGGGATTGATTGCGATGGACTGCAAACTCACCTCCCAGGCTTCTTTGTACCAAGATAGGCTATGTACAGTTTAATTATGGAACATTAGATGATTATTTTTTAATTATTTACACTGTAGGCTTAAGCTTTTTAATAATCAAAACTATTAAAAACCAGAGTCCTTTCTTTAATTAAAAAAAATCCTTCATCTCCCTCTACCTCCATCTCTCCTCCCACCTTCTTGGCTCACTTTTGTGTGTTACTTTGTCACATTAAAATGTAAGCTCCCTGAGGGTGACTGCAATTTCTTTTTACTTTTATATATATCCTCAGTGCTTAGCACAGTGCCTGGTAAAGAGTAAGCATTTAATAAATGCTTGATGGCTTGTTTCTTTCCCTCCTTTCTTCTTTCCTTCCTCCTTTTACTACGTGCAAGCCACTGTGCTTGGCATTGGGTATACAAAGTCAAAATCCACCCCCTCAAGGATTTTATAAGGTAATAGAGGAGAAAGATCGTTTATCCAAATACCATACAAGGTAGACTGCAATAAGGGCAAAGGACTATATGATCTGAGGAGGGAGAAATCCCTTTCCACTGGTATTGAGATACAGTAAGGGAAGGCTTCCTGGGGGAGGTGGTACATGAGCTGATCCTTGAAGGAAGAAGAGGAGTTGAGTAGGCAGAGATACGGACAGAGTTTATTCGGGACAAAGGGTGTGTGCAGGCACAAAAGTGAGAGAGTGTGCAAAACAAGATCAGGGAACAAATAGTAGTCCATTTTGGCTACAATATCAAGAGTGTAGAAGGGAATAGTATAAAATAAAGATGGAGACACAGGCTGCACCAGATTATGAAGGTCCTTGAATGTCAGATTCAGGATTTTGTATTTCATCCTATAGTCAACAGGGAAGGAGGTTTGTAAAATCAAGGTGTGACATAGTGCTTCAGGAAGATCTTTTTTTGGCAGCTGTCTGAAGGATGGATTAAAAGGGGAAAAGACCAAAAAAGAAGTTAGGAATCTAGTACAAGGGCCCATGTAAGAATGCTTATGAAGGGACAGCTAGGTGGCACAGTGGATAAAGCTCCAACCTTGGAGTCAGGAGGACCTGAGTTCAAATCCGTCCTCAGACACTTAACACTCACTAGCTGTGTGACCTTGGGCAAGTCACTTAACCCCTATTGCCTCACCAAAAAAAAAAAATGCTTATGAACCTAGTGGAGGCCATGTGAGTGTAGAAAGGGGGCCAGATGAGAGAGATGCTGCAGAGACAGAATCCATGGAACTTGGCAATGGATATGGGGGTAAGGGAGTCAAGAGGACTCTGAGGTTTCAAACCCGGAAGGCTGGGAAGAGGATGATATCATCCACAAAGATAGGGAAGCTAGAAGGAAGGCCAGTTTTCAGGGGAAAGGTGATAAGTTCAAGAGGCAGCCTAGAAAGCTGGGCTCAGAGCCAGGAAGACATGGGTTCAAGTCCTCCTTCTGGCATATTCTGGTTGTGGGACCATGGGCAAGTCCCTTTATCTCTCAGTGCTCTAGGCAAAGCAAATCATATCGAGTTAACAAGAATTTATTATTAAGCTCTTATTATGTGCTAGACACTGTGTTAAGTGCTGGGAATACAACTGCAAGCAAAGGGACAGTCCCTGCCCTCAAAGAGCTTACATTCAGGAGCTGAAAAGCTGGGGAGGTGGGGGCGGGGAGAAGAAAGTGATCTCTCAGGGGCATGGTGATGAAATCCAGGAAAGGAAGAAGGGCTGTTCTGGGCCCTTCCTCAAAATGGAAGATCCAGGAGGAAATCACCAGGGGAAAAAGAGGCCACAGGGGTGAAGGGAAGACTAGCTGAAGCCTGGTGGCAAAGTCTGGAAAGTGAAAGTCAAGGCCCTCCCTGAAAGTTCTTTAACACTACAAATTGCAAAAAAGGTGTGGACTTGCATTGGTATGGGAATTTCCACACCTGGGAGTTCCCAATGCCAATGACATCACAGACCCAGACCCTATCCTTATTCCTACTACAAATTCAGTTTTGAAGGTGCTGAGTTTGAGAGAGTATCTAAGTCCTACCCATTCTTCAAGACCCAGTTTAAGTCCCCAGCTCAAGGAGAGCTCGCCATCCACTGAACTACCACATTTTATATCATTTATTTGACACTTGTGTTATAATGCCTAATGCCTCATCTCAGTGAGGGGGGATGGGCAGTGGAGTCTGGACCTGTGGATTTTATTGCTACTGTAAGCTCCTCAGTGAGGAAACTCCTCCTACCAATACAGGTCCACACCTTTTCTGCAACTGCAATTCTTAGAGAATTACTAATAGCACTAAGTGACTTGGCCGGGTCACACAAACAGTAGGTATGTATCATAGGCCAGACTTGAACCCAGGCCATCTTAACTCAGGGGTTGGCTCTCTATCCATGAAGTCACCCTGTCTTCCAACATGGCCTGGTATTAGTGATGTTTTCATGTGCATGTAGCTTGACTCTCCTACTACCATAAACTCCTTGAAGGCAATAACCAAACAGTACCGTCTCTGGTATCCCTCATAGCACCTAATGTAGGGCGGGGCCCAGAGTAAGTGCTCATTGATGTCCTGCTGCTTGGTTAAATGAGCTTACCAGTTGTTTGTTGAAATTCTGGACACACTGCTCGAACTGCTCATCTTTAGTCTCATCTGCCTTTCCTAACTTCTGTAGGACCTGGAAAGAGAAAGAGGGAAAGAGAATGTTACCACAAAAATAAAGACCAAACAAAAACCCTGAGGTCCAGATCCTGTCCTGTAAAACCAGAGAGAAACCATTGCATTTATTTTCTCCTCAACCCCTTCCCTAATTCCCTACCACAAGAAACATGCCCAAACATGCATCAGTTTCCCACGTGCTTTGTGATGCCAATACTAGCCCAAGGAAGTCCCCCTCTATGGAGGTCAGCTGGCTCACCCCTTGTCCAACTAGCTCCTCTGGCAAAGAGGAGAGAAGGCCTAAAGTCATGACAATCCATGGGGCTGGACCAAGACTTCTTAGGTGAGGTTCATACTATCACTTCCTCAGAGCTCCATCCAGACTGTCTCAAGTACTGGGCAAGAAAGGATTGAGAGGGACTGGGAGGAAAGTCCCATATCTCTTCACAAACTGTCAGCTTTCTCGAGTGGGACCTAACAAGGGAGAGCCAGGGAGAAGAGAAGTCCAGACATTTGAGATGATAATGAGGGTACAGAAGAGGATGAGGATAGGCAGGAATTTGCTCACATGGTCTATTTCTTCACCTTTATGAATATAAGGACAGTTCCCAGACTTTGGTATCTGATTTTTTTTTTAGGCTCAAATGGCAACCTCCTCACTGTCCTCCTCCCCCAGCCCCCAACACAAACATGCAAGTACACACACACTCTCCCTCTCCCTCTCTCTCTCTCTCTCTCTCTCTCTCTCTCTCTCCCCTAAGTCTCAGCTGTCTGGCTCTCAGCTGTTTCTTGACCAAAGAAAGAGAAAAGTGAGAGAAGTAAGAGACAGGAGAAAAATGAAACAAAGAGTTAACAGAAGAACAGGCTTTGTAGGAGACAAGAGAGATAGAGGCAGATGGACAACTAACTTCTGCAATGCAGCAAACTTCTCTTGGGGGAAATGAAAGAGCAACAAAGACATTTTCAAAGCGGGGCACAGCAAAGGAAGTGGTTAAAAGCAGCTCTGGGAGGTGGAGGACTATGGGCGTGAAAGACTGCATGTAATGTCAGGTATGGTTAAGGTGTTGGCTAGTTTTGTTGAACTGGGTTTTTTTTTCTCTCTTTTTGATGTGTTTGTTGTAAGGGATGGCTCTCTGAGAAGGAAGAGGGAAAAGGTATATCCTGGGAAATGAAAATGATATTTTTTAAAAAAACATATCAAAAATGTAAATTTACAAAACACCTCTGGGGAATGACCATGAAGACTTTCTTGATATGTGGCAAATGGGGGAGAACACGGACTGAATGGCAGGTATGAATCTATCCACATCCGATGAAATCACAAATCCACTTGAATACTATAGTACCCAACTATCCCCCGTCATTCTCTACAAATCAGAAAAGTCAATGAGACTCTCCCAGCAGTCCTAGCACCTCAGCCCTATCACCTCCAGGCAAGTGAGGAATGACTAGACTGCAGCAGTCTGTCTGGGCGGAGGATAGTAAGAGCTCACTCAGTTGGAGAGGTAAGAAAGTCGAAGACAATGGAGGATAACAACCACCTCCAGATTATGAGGCTCGAATGAGATGCCAGACAGGAAAGCACCTTGAAGCATATAGTAGAATGGCTCAACAAATTTAAAGGATTATTAATATTAAACCCTTTTAAAAAGGTTAGGATGTTCCCTGCTCCACGTGAATCCAGTCTCACCCGATGATACTTCCAGAACTGCCAAGGTTTTTGTCTGGAGTGGGGGAGCATCTCTTGCCAAGCTTGCAGAGATTTTTTGGCTTAAAAGCCTTTTTTCTTCCTCTCCAGACCCTTCCTGCCCCCATAGATATGTCCCATTCAGAGGCCCTTTAGTCACACTTAGCTTTCGAAGCCAGACTGAGTATGTGTTGAGAGGGAACTCCAGATAAAGAAAGACTGTGATAAGTTTCCTGCCAGGTCATCTGTCCAAAGGGGCCTGCTCGGCTTCAGGCCATAGCTTCCCTCTGACTCTCATACATAGGATCCAGCCACCCCCCAATCACCCACTTGAACGCCCCTCAAAGAGGGGAAGTTCCTCTCATTAGCCCCTCTTTGTCCCTGATTTCACTAAAGCAATGTGCTTCTCTGCTGTCACTACCAGCCCTCCACCACATGCCTCACGCCCCCTCTAAAATTAAGACTTGGACATAATTTAATGTGATGAAAATAATGGTATAGTACTGTGCTGTAAGAAATGACAAATATAAACAATTCAGAGAAGCCCTGGAAGGCCTGTATGAACTGACCTAAGAGTGCAATAAGCAAAATCTATATGTCATAAGCAATCTCACCTCTGTGCCTTTGTTTTTCTCATTTTCCCCCCTCCCCATAATGTCATTCCTGCTTCTTTCTATGGTGTGCCTACCCTTAATAACCCAATTCAAGTTCTAGCTCCTCCATGGAGCTTCCCTTGACTATTCCAACCCACAGTGATGTCTCTGTCTTCTGAACTGCTGCAGCACCATCTGCACCATTTTACTTGGCACTTAGCCTAAATACTCATCTATCTATGTGCATCTTCTTTCTCTACCCAACTGGAGCGTATGCTCTTCCAGGCCAAGAAACAGACAGACAGACAGACAGATAGCTAGGTAGATAGATAGATAGATATGATATGATACAGAGATATAGACAGACAAACTGATAGAGCTATATAAAGATAGGTATGCATGTATATATTTTTATAAAAAGGTTTTGTAAGAATAGAAATATATGTATATATCTGAATTGTTCACAATATATATCTATTAGATTTTATATAGATATAAATATACAGATATAGAGAGAGAAAGATAGAAAGATATATGCCTTATCTCTTAGTATTTCCAGCACCCAGACCTTTATTGGGGCTCAATAGAGGTTTTTGATGAGATAAGGAAATTGAAGCCTAGAAAGGTTAATTAAGTAGCTTGCCTTAGGTTACCAAGGCCCTTTTAGAATACAGTAATGGCTAGCATTCCTAATTCACTATTCTTTCCAACACATTAAACCCAGGCTTCCTATTTATGTATTATGTCTTGACAAGCCTGAAGATTTCAGATGATTTTCAGTTTCCCTAATAATACCATGCATCTACATAAGCCAGATCTAACTACTACCTCATTTTATTAGCATAGATTGTTTTCTAAAGGAAGAAAAGAAGAGAGCCTTACATGGGCTTCTTTCATTTGATGATTTCTGTCACTCGAGGGAGAAGGACATAGAAAGCAATAGATATTTATCACCTCTGTGATATAGATATGGAAATTGGAGCCCAAGAAGCTGAAATGGACCTTGTCTTATTTAAACTTTGTATCTGCCACAGCCCTAAACCCAGACTTCTGAATCCAGCAAGCATTCAATAAATTCTTGCCGAATTGAATTGCAGAGGTCACCTAGGAACCAGAACTTAGGTCTGCTAAACTCCCAATCTGAGGTTTATATCCTCTCTCTCTCTCTTTCTCAATGACCTCTTCCTAGAGCTAGAGCTCAAGCACAAGCACAATATTTGGCACGCAGTAGGTGCTTAATAAATGTTCACTGACTGACACAAACTGACTGGGTATTTTTGCTGCAGAGTCCCTAAGCCAGACCTCAGATCTGTGGGAAATCTGTGGGAGGCTGCCTTACTAGAGCATCTTTGCTAAAGGTAAGGAGATGCCCCTTCCTCAGGCCAGACTGCACTAGTCCATACTCACTGTCCATACTTAACGCATATTACTTTGTATTCTTAATTATCCTTTCAGGCCCAAGCTCCCCACCTCGACTGTTAGTCCACTGAGGGCCGTCATTTTATACTTTATGTTCCAAAGGCCCTTGGCACAATGTCCCAAACAGAGAAAACCATCCATGACCTTCATTAGGCCTCCTATGGTCTCTAACCCTTCTCCTCTCAGGTTACTAAATGAAAAGCAGTCTTCCAAGCCATATTCTCTAAGCCCACCCACTCCCTCAGTGAGTCAGCTGGGGAAAACCGAATTATCTAGGTTGCTGCCCAAGCTACATTTCCTCCTCACCAGCCTGTAGCTCTTCTCTACCATCACCCTAAATGGGCCTGTCAGGAGAGATCAAGGCTCGCTTGGATGGCAGATGCTGTAGCAGCTGAAGAAACACGGCCCAGCAAGCACATACACACAGGCCCAAGCAAACACATATGTACAAATATGTAATCACACACTACATAAGCACACAGAGACCAAACTGAGAAAACACGAAAATTCCAAACAGAAACGCCTTATGTTGTTAGTTATCTTCGCAAGTGCATTGGAAATGCCCTCGGCTGTGAGTCAGGAGGCCCGTGTTCTAGTAGGAGCTCTAGCCACAAGTAGCTAACTACCTCTGCTACTCATTAGTCCCTCAAATGACTCGGTCTCTTCGGCCTTCAGTTTCTTCCTCTGTAAAGGACTAAGCGATCTCTCGAGGCTCCCCCCACACGAGTTATATATTTTGTGTGTCTTCCCAACCACCCGGCAAACTCCACAAGGGCAGGGACCGTGACTTCTCTTCTGTTCCACACAGTCCTTAGCTAGGAGACACTTAGTGAAAACCCGCTGCTTTACCGGTCATAGGACGAACAGATTGCAGTAATCCTCCCCACCCACACACTTCATCCTGATAAGTGACTTTATGTCCTTCTCCCCCTTCACAAGAGGATTCTGGGCCTTTCTGTTCCACTGGTCTCCCCTCGGCGGTGCAAGACACAGTGCTCCAAATTCAGAAGGTCCTCCAAAAAGCTGGTGAATTCAATTCACAGGATCGTAAATCTAGAGATGCAAGGGACCCCAGAAACTAGCTAGTCCAAACCTCTCGCTTTACAGGTCGGTCATAAGGCCACAGGTTTAGAGCCTGAAGAGTCCAACCCTGTCATTTACATATGAGGAGACTGAGGCCCCAGAGGTCAAATGACTGGCTGAGGTCACACAGCAATTAAATGTCTAATGTAGAATTGGAACTCGGGTTGTCTTAATTCTAGGGCAATGAATAGCGTACTGGGCCTGGAGTCAGGAAGATTCTTCCTGAGTTCAAATCTG